AATATAAAGAAAGAGCAACCCGGCTGCGGCCTTCCACGTCAGATTCTGAGCTCTGTAATGAGCGGCGCCGGGATTTAATTCGAAAACGAGATCCCACGTGTGTACCCCCGCCTTTCCGTTCGAAAAGACGTCAAGTAGCTCGTATGGAGGTTCATAGATTTTTTTTGGATTAGATGAATGTTTGAAACCCGTACGATGGTCCATTCTCACTAAACATCGGGACCACAAGGGAGATTTCAGTTATGTCCGTGTCCCCACACTCAATTTCCCAAAAATCCTTGTCACACCCTAGTTTGTTGTTCTTCCAAGGCCTTTTCCGCATTTTTAATCACTCCGAGTGGAAGACGGCACAGGGCGTCAGGTTGAATGTCACATGACATGCAAGTAGCAAGCAAGCGGGCGGAGACTGCGGGCGATGTGAGTGAGCTGAGCGTATTGTTAGGTGGAGTCAACGGAGACCGGCAATGCTACAGAGTGGTCTTGATAACCACTAGGTCCTAATGTTGCATAGCTTCGACTTGTTAGCCAACACCAGGCCCGGTCACCTCCTTTGTTGGGGCCGCAACAAGGCTGGGTGAAGGGACGAACGTGGCGTACGAGCGTGTTGTGTGTGTTGACACGGTGCTTGAGCTCCGTGTGTGCGGTGAGGGGAGGCTGCTGCACAAGAGAGCAAAGTACTTGCGCACTTGCAGGACGATGCCGGAGGTTGTCGTGAGGTGGTCCGGTTGTGGACTGGTGAGACCTCGTCTCGGCCTGTAGGATGGCCAAGGGTCCACTTCGCGTCAACTGATACCTGCTAGTGGGGGGAAAGAGTGTCCTAAAGCAAACCATACTCCGACTTAGGCATACGATTGGGGTGAACTCGGGCAAGGCGGTGAGGTGGTCCTCTCGTCCTTGATTCATTGAGGCCTCATGCTGGCCTTCAGGCCGGCCTAGGGTCCGCTCCAGCATCGCTGCAGTGATGAGCTCAATCTGACTAAACTGCCAACATTGTTGGGGGAGATTCTGCTGGTGGTGCTATCACACCTTGGAAATGGAATGTCTGGGGTGGTGGAGGCAAAGTGCGTTGATTGTGAGAACTTGTGTGTAAGGGGGATATGCTATCAGTTTGACGAATGGATGAAGAAGTGTTCTAGAAAAGCTATTATGTCTCTTGACAGGTCGGTAGACTCATCTCCTTCATTCCTCATGCATGTATGGACTGTGGAGTGACTCTTGTCTTTCTTGTTTGTTCGATGTTGTTTGTATGCATGTTCATGCACATATGCTTGATTATGTGAGCTCAGTGGCATGGAGCTTATCAGACTTTATCATGGAGGGTTATATGGCATGTGTAGAAGTGAGATGTTCCACATTGTGATTATGGTCATGTGGCATGAGAACTATGTAAGGAAGGCATCCCTGATTATTGGTGTGACTGGTAGAAGTGCCCTGAAAGGACTAAGGGGCGTAGTTGCTGGTTCAGTGCGTTTTACCTGATTGCTGGATTATTCCATGTATTCTTGTCAGAGTGAATGACTTTCAACGTGGCTGTTTTGGGAGTGATGATGGGTTACATAAGAGACACACACGCTCCTCCCCATTATGGCTGGGAGGCCCAAGTGGACGACATTGATTACTTCCTCGAGGAAGGATGTATCACCCCTCACCCCTGTTAGTCGTGTAATGTTGTTGCCTGGTAGGGGTGTTTCTGTTAGAGAAACCCACAGGGCTTCCATTCTGTTCCACATTTGTGTCGCCTTTGAACAGTCGAGCAAGCAGTGTAGCAGGTCTTTTGGGACAGCCTCATGACAAATAGCACAAAGGTCATCTAGTGGTTGTCTGTCCATCTATGAACAACGCCTACTTAGCCACTTATTGACGGGAAGTGTAAGATAATAGATGAGCCATTGCATACTCCTGATGTGGGTGTTTCTAATTGATAACGGGACTTACCATGAGATCTGCATCTCGGCTCCTAACCCCCCCTGAACGTGTTTCTCCCATCTTGTTAATAGTGTGTCACTTGTGTCAACTGCTCGCCTCCGAAGTCTGTATCCAAACCTGGTTGTGTAATTGAGAATTCTTGTTCTGCGCTCTACCCTCGTTTGAGTAGAGTATGTTTTCCATGCCCACTCTGTTGGGTCGAATTCGAGATCTTGCAGCTCTTCTGTGGGGTTGAAGATTCTATAATCCTCATCCTCAATTACTCTCACTTTCTTCATTCCCAACGTCTTTGCCGTTACTTTGGCTGCTATCGTCTTAGAGACCACGCTTATAGTCTGTCCCAGACGCTGTATGTTATGAATTGACCACACCGCCCAATCTCCTGCCGGACCTGTGCGCTTGATGAAAGATAAGGCCATTGTCGGGATAGCTTCCCATCTTCCCGCGGCCCACTCTCCTGCTCTCCATGTAGAGGGGGCCTGTAGAAGCTGCGGCCATTCCAAGGGAATTGATTGAAGGAGGGCAGTGAGGTTATCTTGCAGATTGTGGCAACCCTTGAGCGTATCGCGGAGTTCGGAACACGTTTTCCATCGATTATGCTGCTGGTTCCATACGTGACTGATTCTCTAGTACCCTCGCTCCAACCACTTGATCCAGCGTCCATCCCGAAAAGTTAATGTCCAGGGTTTATCGTCTTGTTTTTTTATCCATTGGTTGCAGTAGAGAGGTTGTCGTAATACCTCTTCCCTATTTGTTGGTCTGCGTGTCTTAGTCGGGAAGATCTCCCTCCAGGATTTGATGAGGTAAATCCAATAATCTATGTGAGAGTCTTGTTGTAGTTGTTGATGATGCTGTTGCAGTACCCTTGGGAGTTGTTTGATCCTATAGAGTGCCAATGAAGTCCACGACAGTCTGTCGTTAGTGAACAGCTTCACTATCCACTTAGTCCGCAAAACTTTGGTCTGTGTGAGAGGGTCCAAAATTCCCAGCCCTCCTTGTCCCTTTGGTTGTGTGAGGTACCCCCAAGCGACCTTAGGAATGAAACTCTGCGTAGAAGGATTACCAATCCACAAATAATTTCTAGAACGTGTTTTGAGAGCATTTGCCGTACGCGATTCCGGCGTCCAAATGGTTGCTGCGTACCTGAGCATGGAGAAGATGGACACGTTGAGTATCATACGCAAAGTGTAGATACTATACCATTTATCTAATTTGCGAATCATTCGTGTAAGCATCTTTGGTGCCATAGCCTGATCTGGTCCTGCATTTGTGAGATTGATACCAAGAAACCTCATTGGTGTCTTGGGGTCTTGCCATGAGAAGCCTTCGGGAGTGATATCCTGTGGCGGTCTCTCTATTTTCGACAACCACCAGCCAATAGTTTTCCTCCAATTAACATCCATTTCAGATGCCAGCTGGAAGCCCTGCATAGTGCGCGTAAGAGTTTGAAAAGAAGCGTTGGAAGCTTTGATCAAGATGGTGAGATCATCGGCAAAGAGAAGAGTGGTGCGTAAGCGGACTTGATAAAAGTGATGAGACGGTTCAACGACTAGACGCTCTATTGTCGGGTCCTTTCTCAAGAATGAGGCTATTGCTTCCGTGGTGAAGAGAAAAAGGGGGGCTGCTCGCGAATCTCCTTGACGCACTGAACGACTCGTTTTGTAAGGCGGAGAAAGAAACTCATTGAATTGTACTTGTCTGTATGCATTATTGTACAGTACTCTTACCCATTTGCGAAAATTCGGTCCGACGCCCATCTTCTCTATACATTGTTGCTGAAAATTCCAACTGACCTGGTCGTAAGCCTTTTCGAAGTCAAAAAAGAGTATGGCAGCATTGAGTTTCTCATTCGTGATGTACCGCGCCAACTCCCCGGGATGAATCTTGTCTGGTCAACATGGAAGCAACTCCGGGTGATGTTTCTAAGTCGATTGGCAAGGAGTTCTGCCAGTATCTTGTACATCACCGTGAGTAGTGTTATCGGACGATAATTTCGGATATTTGTGGGGTCTCCCTTCTTGTATAGCAATGTGACAACTCTTATACTTATGTACTTGCCCAGTCCTTCTTCTTGGTTGGTTGTGTTAAGAAAGTTGATGTATTCATTCCATACTTGCGGCGCACTGGAGCGATGCGCGATGCGGTGTGGTGCGTTGTGCGGAATGCGCGCGGTGACACCGCGCAAGCATGTGCGCGCGCGCGACGCACCTCGCGCACGAGGTGCGTCGTGCGCGCAGCGCATGGGGACGCGCTACCCCTGCAAGGTGCGCACTGTGCGCCATGCCTCTTTTCGGCGTGTGTGTGTGTGTGTGTGTGTGTGTGTGTGTGTGTGAGAGAGAGAGAGAGAGAGAGAGAGAGAGAGAAGAAACTGTGTGAGAGAGAGAAGAAACCGTGTGAGAGAGAGAAGAAACCGTGTGCTAACACTATCGAACCGAAGAAACCGCCCTTATCAACGAGCAACATGAATCCGGAAGCGGGGCGACATGCACAAAGGACAAAAAATATGACGGTGTATCTTTCCATGTTCTGGCGGAAGATTCATTCATACGTTGGGTGGTGGAGAGCGAAGGGTCGATGAATCAGGTAGGCACGTAACGTATCTCTGGAACCTTTCTTTTTTTTTTTTTGGAGAATCTATGAACAAATAAGACTGAATCCTCCGCTTGAACATGGACAAATACATTGCCATATATGTCTTGTTGTGCATGTCGAGAGTAGTGCAGCGAGCCCGTTGGTGAACATTACCATTGAGGTTCTGACAGGTTGGACGCGCCGGGCTTCACTCGTGCAAAAAAATTTTGATGTTCTTCCTTTACGTTTTTTTCTTCTATACTCTTCTTAAAGGGAGTAGCGGGTCTCGCATAACGCGTCCCGCTGAGACCTTTTTCCCACGCGGGCCTGGCGCACCGTGGGCCCGACGCGGTTTTTTGTTCGCGGCCATCTTTTTTTTTTTTTTTCGTGGTGAGAGATTCGACTCTGGCAGTGTATATTTCCATGCTCTAGCGGTTCGCGGCCGTCTTTTTTTTTTGTTGTTTCGTGGTGAGAGGTTCGACTCTGGCAGTGTATATTTCCATGTTCTAGCGGTAGATTCATTCGATTTTGCTTATCGACCACTCCCTCTCCTCCTCGTCCCGCTCCTCCTCTGCTGCTTGCTGCTATCTTCTCTTCCCTCCATCCTCCTCCTCCTCATCCTCCACTTCCTCCGCTTTATCCGCTTCCTCACCTCCTCCTCCTCATCGTCCTCTTCCTCCCTCTCCCGCTCCTCTTGCCATTCCCGCTCCTCTCTTCGCCTCCGTCTCCTCCTCATCGTCCTGGCCACTCCCGCTGCTCCTCCTCCCGCTACTCCTTGCTCCGGCCTATTCCTGCCTCCATCCTCCTCTTCTCCGCTTTCCCCTCCTCTCTTATGTCTGATCATCATCATCATTATCTTGATCGTAAATTTCCACCCCCTCTCCTCTCATTGTCCTTTTCAAACTACTCCTCCTTTGCCCCCCCCCCCCCCCCCCCCGGCGCCCAGGTGGTTTTACAATGTCTCATCCATTGAATTCCATTTATGTTTCGTCGACTGATTGAACTTCGCTTTTGGGAGAGATGGTAGAGGTGAGAAAGTGGAGGAGGGGGGGGGGAGCGGAGGAGGAGGAGGAGGAGGAGTGTAAAGTCGACGTTCAGTTGCAGTGTGGGATCCCGACATGAACCCTGTTGGCCTAGCCTTTTTTTTTTTTTCCCCCTTCCGTGAAACCCTGACCTTTTTTAATTTCGCCCCTTCCGTGAAACCATGTTTGTTTTTCCGGATCTGGTGGTCCTCTCTCCAAATTTCCTCCAATTTTGATTTTAGAAATTCCCTCTTAATAGCCTCGCTACCGTTTTTTTTTTTTTTTTTATGCGGCCTTCATCTACATCTTTGCTTGCTGCCCTCCCTGCCTGCCTCTCGTCGCGCCCCTCTTCTGTGTCGCAGCTTTGCTGCGGCGTGTCCACTTGTTTTATTTAAAAAAAAAAGAATTCCAGGAAAAACGGCTGTCAGTTCCGTCGTTTTCTACTTTAGAAGTAAGAAGAGAAAGTTTTGAGAGATCGCGACCCTCATCATGATTGAATCTGGCCTGCAAGAACCCTACCATACAGACTGCAATTACCGTTGAGGTTCTGACAGGTTGGACGTGCCGGGCGACACTCGTGCAAAGAAATTCTGATTTTCTTCAAAAAACATTCCAGGAAAAATGGTTGTCAGTTCCGTCGTTTTCTACTTCAGAAGTAATAAGAAGAGAACGTTTTGAGAGATCGCGACCCTCATCATGACTGAATCTGGCCTGCAGGAACCCTACCATACAGACTGCAATAACCCTACCATACACACAGAGTGTTACCCGAACTACAGTTTCCTAAAATCTTTCAGGCCAACGCGCGGCCT